AGAGTGGTAAACACATATTGCAAAATTTCACTAGGTTCATAAAACGAGTGCAGAAAGAGGGCGTTGAGAAGAGAAATCTAAGGAGACCGGCGCATGTGAATGGGCACGCACGAGTCGAAATGAGGGAATCACAACCTTTGTAATGAGACTGAAGATGAATATATGCGCGCAAACATGGAATATCGATGTCCTGAATAAAAATGGAATTCGGACACATGGTTAGATGCGCACGGCACACTACACAGGGATTCGAATTCAAAATTCCTAATATCACGTGTTTGTTCGTAAGCCCAAGGAACGTTGCATACAAGAGCCGAGCCACTAGGGGGAACACGATGAATGAATACTGAAGGAGGGCAAGTAAAAAGATGAATGTTACGGAGAGATAAATAAAAACCACGGTAAATAAATAAATTCTGTGGCATGATGTTTGGATTACGATTGCGCCCTCTGGTTGACCGATAGCCTGCGATGTTCGATAACATGACGGATTGGTCAATGATTATCCGGTTCTGGCAGAAGATAGGAAATGTCTTCCCACGGGTGACGGTACAGGCCCTGATGAAGTCTTCGTTGATCCAAGTAATGACCTGCACAATCAGGAAGTTGTAAAACAGACAAACCTCAAGCGGTTATCACGATGTTTTATTTATTTCATTCAATATGTAGTTACATAACTTTTTTAATACACATTTTATAGTGTGATGAACAGCAGACGGGGCGAACCCCATAGTCACGAGGACCTGCTGCTCATTGATGGAAACCGGATTTGGAATGGCGAACATAAGGTGTAGTATTGAACCGGACGACATCAAAGCTGCCTGCCACCACAGTTGGGTGGCGGGGCTCGGACCACGCCAGTGACAGCAACTAAGCTACCGCGCAACCACCACCAAAAGAAAAGAGTAAAGCGACCAACCAAAAGGCCATCAATGATAAAAATATAGGGGAAATATGCATGGGTGATGGCAGGTGTCGAACACAATCTCTCGAAGTGATGTGGTGGTGACCGATGCAGCAGCCGGTCGATTGGATGATAGCATACCTTCTGGGTGAAAATACCAAACTCGTTGCTGTATTGTACGTGTGCGTGTAGACGTTACTGAAACTTAG